CTAAGGTCATGCTTTTTTTTTTTTTTTTTTTATACATTTAAATCACACACATTAATTTTTGATGTTCGAATAAGTCATCTTTGTTAGACTTCCACATAATTATTTTTAATCTGACATGTGCAGTCAAGTGTTTGGAATTTTAGTGTTAAAATTTTGAAATGAAAACTGTTTGAGGACAGCTTTTGCTCTTATTTTTAAATTGGAAGTCTTTATCCTGAGGAAGGGCATTTTAAAACAACTGAAAATGTTTAAATGCTGTGCCAAAGTCACTTTTCAAAGATGTGAATGGTTGTTTTTGTAACACCAGTAATAAAGGAACAGAAGAGGGAAAGATGCAAGTTAGTCTAATGTGACCAGATTCTGAAATGTTGAAATGCCTATCCTAATATTCTGCTTTTGACAAGACAAATTTTGACATTGTCATAACGTTGGGCTGCAATGTTTTATCATATTTTAATTTTAAAAATTACTTTCAGAATGAATCAAAATATAAATTTATTTAAATTTTTAATATGTGAGATCCTGTGAATATCGTACACCTTAGAGCACCTTGTTCTTAATCAAGAATCCTAGAAAGTTGTCAGGTGTCTGCAGGCTTAGAATGGTAAGAATCAAATTATTTTAATTTTTACTGTCCTCTACTCTAATCAAGCATCATTTCACTTACAAAAATTATGCTATAAATTAGTAGTATTAGCTAGATCTGCTTCAAAAATAAAAGTGACTGACATTTTCATACCATGTTAGTTGTATATCTCAAAATTGTTTGTTTATTAGTACTTTGAAATCTTGCTAGTTATTAGACACACTGCTCTATCACAAGAAGCCCATACATTACTATATCATGATTCATATAGAAATACATAAAATAAAACTGGTTTCTCTTTGTAATTTTATTTTATGCATTTATATATTATTCAAAGGAGAAGTCCATGATCATCATCTCACTGGAAAAGGGATCCACGGAATAAAAACAGGTTAAGAACTACTCCTGCCTTAGCGGATCTAAGTGATATTTTTATCTGTTTGTTGTAAGATCAGTTCTATACCAAATTTATCGTTCGTTCTATATAATTTAAAAATTATGAAAGTCCAGATCAGAAGTTTGTATACAATTGATTGTTCTTCTAGCCCTTAAGCTATTCATATCAGGTCTCATTGAAATGTCTGATGATAATTTTTACAAAACTAATTTGTATGTAATTTTAATTGTTTTAAGTGTTTAGGTGGAAGACTTCCCAAACTTTTGAGTTTGGAAATACTATGTAAAATGAAATTTCAGAAACTTACCAATTTATTATATGATTTTTATTATTATTATTTTTGGAGCAGTCATAAGCTTAAAATGGTGCATTTTAAGCTTATGACTGCTCCAAAAAACAATTGCAAACACTATAAAATAACAAGAACTAAAAAGTAAAACTAGGAAAATTGTACATAAAAATGGCTTATTACATGTGGATGCAGATAAATTTATAATTTATATTTAGAATTAATTTAATTTAATATATAAAAATAATAGGAATTGACTGTGTATAATTTAATAACTTTTGTAAGGTGGTATACTAAATGGTACTTATGCAAGTCAAATTTTAAGTCAATTTCCTTTGTTTATGCAGCACTCACAACTATATGCACTGAATTTGATTGAAACAAAAAAAAAAAAATTTGATGACCATATAAGTAGAATTATTTATTCAATTTTCTCTTGGTATATAGGAAAAGATACAACCTACTAAATATTGTGTATATTAAGACACTCATCTTATGGCCATCTAAATATGTTTATTATTGTACTCCACTTATTTCCTATGGAATGTAAAATTATGTTTTCATGGTTTTAAGTTTCCACTGGCTAACAAACAATTACAAAGTTGAATTTATGTACATTGGGGAATGGCTCTATTAATATAAAATAAATGATTACAACTTTTTTGTATATTTTAAAGTAGTAATTATTATTATTTTTTTTTTTTTTTAAGCTCTGGTGTATGAAGTGCTGTATAAATTTGTTTTTAAATTGGGAGATGAAGTTGATTTGGCAGTTGAGAAAATGTTACATGATAAAGCATATTCTAAGCAAAGAAGAAACAATATTTTAAACAGAGAATCTCACAGAGAAAGGTAAATAGAAGAAATGTTGTCAAAACATATTACATTTACTTTAAATAATTACTTTGTTGCTTAATTTGGAGACTTTTATTGAAATTGATTACACAGACAGGTTTAGATTAGACAGAAAATGATGGCAATATACTAAACATTAGTATTTTAGTGTTTATATTTTGTCACAAAATAATAATTATGATATATGTAAAATTTTAAAATTAATTTATTAAATATATAGATATTTAATTATAAATACTTTAAAACTAATTTTTATACTTTTACAATTTATATATAGAGTATAAGTATGATTTGAGTTTAATACTTGTGCTAAACTGAACTATTTAACTTAAAACATAAGTAAGACAATTTGTTGTATACAAAAGCATTTTAAACAAAAAAACGAAGTTAAATGTAGAGAGGAAATTTTTATTTAAAAAATCAAAACATTTATATTATCATGAATTTAGAAAGTTCATAAAATCATCATAGAAATTATATAAGTTTAGAACTGTCAACTGACTGGCAGCTACTTGTGACATCACACTAGAAATCTCTATTGCCCATCAATTCTGAGAAAATAACTGCAATTATTAAGCTGTACTGGACAATAAAGGTTGAGTGAGTACAAGATTGCAATTATTTTCATACAACAAAGAAAGCCAGATCTTTGTAAGATACTATCAGTCATTTGCTTAAAAGAATAAGGATCTTCATGTATTTGACTATTTCTTTTATTTAAAGTGCTTGGAAAAAACATGTTAATTAATTAATTATCAATGCTGATTACTTTGTTCTTGGATTGCCTTCTTTGTGGTGGCAAGTGCATGAATCACCACCTCTGTGGCAGCAGATGCAAGGATTTCATCTTCTGTGTCTAATGTGGAAATATGTTTTTTTTTTTTTTTCTCAAAAAAAAAACTCAAAAGTTTTGATAAAACCAAAAAGAAAAGGAAATTTTTATTAAGGCCCCAAAAAAATAAACCATAGTTGTTTTAGGATGCCAGTAGATTTCTATTCCGACAGATGGAAATAATCATGTGACCGAATAATACTATACACTAATACTGTATATACAAAATTCCGACTTATACTATGCAACAAGGGAGAATCACTAAAACTAATTTTACACTAATATTAAACTATCACGAGTACAACTAACAGAAAAAAAATTAAAACTACTATTAAGCTAAAGTAGAAGAATTAGGAACAGGGAAGAGGTACGCAGTATTAGTCTTTGAGGTCCTCGAAGTTGGTCTCTTTTATAATGTCCTTAGCGAGGGTGTTACACAAAAAAAAAATTATATCTTCTAGTTCAATCACTCTTCGGTGGTTTGGATTTTATAGTTCAGTTAATTATCCTGAATCTATCATAAATATCTTTCATCCATCTCTGAAACTCTGTTCCTTCTGTACACTGCCAAAAAGTTAACCTTCACTACAAACAAATACAGTCACTGCAAGAGTTTTCTACAGGAAACAAGAAACATCACAATTACATAAAGCAGTAACTCTAGCAGACTCAAATAACACACCATTAAACTTACACTCACATCATACAGATTTGACACAACATATAAAAAGCATAGACACCATCAAGCAATCGTGGGCTCGAAAGGCACTCCCATGGCAGGCATTCTTATGACCTAGCCCAGGATTTTGTTGACAAAACTGCGTCAAACAGCTGGTTAGATCGGGGATGCCTCTTTGGGGAGACGGGAGGATTCATGATTGCAATACATGATCAGGTCATACATACTAAAAATTACAGAAAACACATACTCAAAGATACAACACTCACAAATGACACATGCAGAAAATGTCACATCATGCCAGAAACTATACAACACATCACTTCTGGNCTTGTTGTACTGACAAACCTGGAGAGTTCATAGGTGTCTGTATGTGCAACCTGGTGAACAAATTGTAAATTTTTGTGTATATTTATTTTACTTGTACATAAACTTATTGTTAAGCTATTTTCATTTGTTGTCTTCTCACATGGTAATTCATTCCCTTTCACAATACTCTTAGTATCGATTATTATGATTTTCCACAAAGTCTCCAAGGACAGTTGAAAGCTACTCCAAAATTAACAAACATAAAAACAAAGACGACAATTACATAAAATTAAAAATACGTTGTTATACATTAAATACAATATAAATTAAAGGCAAAATATATATATATATATATATATAATTTCTTCAAAAGAATGTTTCAAAGAACTTCTCTTTATTGATGTGATTTGTTAACTGCTTCTGACACAATAATTAACAATGCTATAGTATGTTGTTCCAAAACATTTCCTAAGTTGGAAATAACTGTTAACTCGTAGTTCAAACCTTATAACTCAGTCTTAAATATTAGTAAAATATACATATAGTTACAAAAGAATGTTAAATAAAAAAAATAGCTGCAAAATCATATGCTTGCTAAGTGTGCAAAAATTTTTGTTTGTCGCCCAGATGACTGTCATCCAATTGTCGCCCACCTATCACCCAGTTGATCATAGTCCAGTTGACATGTACCCTGACAGACATTGCCTCGTATTGGATGTTGCATACTTTCTGCTTTGTCAACATATGAAAGTTTCCAATAAACTAATACTTAATTGTTAATATTGAACATTAAAAATTTTTTAAATTATAATTGAAAAAATTAATTTTTTTATTAAATGTGGAAGAATTGTTTTAAAAATTGGAAATGTGACAAGATTTGCTCGATTCCAATTACTGGAAAATGCTTTTTTTTTTCTGTTCTCAATTTTGATTAATCATCTCATCACTAGTTTTGACATCTTGAAAATCAGGTCTACACTAGATTCAATGGTGCATTTAGAACTGAGAAAACATGTATATTTTTGAATAAGATTTTATAAGCAAGTAAATTGTTATTTAAAATGTTAGTTAACAAAATATTTCAAATAACATTTTTCTTGTTTTTGTTTTATGATTTTAGATTTGGATTGAACTAGTTGAAATAATATAAAATCATGTATAAAATTTTATAAATACAACACAACCAAAAATCCAGGAAAAAGTATTTACTGATGTAAACTAAAGTTTTTTGACTTCTTTTGTCAGTCATCATCTGGTTAGAATAGAATTATATTCAAATTTCTGTTTCTCAAAATAAGTTTTAAATGGTTGAAAGGTGTTTGATTGGATGTGGTGCTAATAATTACTGCCATTTACAAATCAAATTAAGTTACTGACATCAACAGTTCCTATTCCTTCAAATCCACCTGCATATTTATTCCTATTATTATCTTCAGAACTAGAAATTTGTTTTCTTTCATTTTTTGCTCATATTAAAATTCATTATTCTTTTAATTTAAATGATGATTATAAAATTTAATTTTTATTAGATATTAATAAACATGGGAGGAAAGTAAATTTTTTTATTTCCTCCCATGTAATTCATTCTAGTATTGATTTGACTTAATGACTGATTTATTAGCAGTTTTAATTAAAATGCATGTGCCTAATAAAAACCACACACTACATGCATCACTCTACGTGAATACTTTTTCATTAGAAGACAAGATCAGTATCAAAATACCTAATGAATGCACTAAGATGAGATTTTATGAAAACAATAAAAATAATAGTATACATAAACCTCAAATCAGGTCCCTGTTCTAAAAATTACTTTACTGTTATCAATATTTGTAAACAGATGAAAAAACTAATTGTGAAAGTCTTATTTTGGAAAAAATTTGGTGTTTTTGACAAAATCAGTAAAAAAGGGAAATCAGTAAAATTAGGAAAGCATTATGTCCCTGGAAAGAAATGCCAGAACAATATTCTGGTCCCAACACACCCCTGGCTTTTGGCCAACTCTTGTCATAAACAGAAATGGAGTAAATGGCAGTAATGACAATTACTACCAGGTCCAATCAAATGCATGTTCCAACCATTAGAAATTTATTTGAATTCCTATTCTTTTAAAATCACACAATAAATAAAATTTAATAATTATAATAATTCTGTTCAGTTATTTTATTAACAATAGATGACTGCTAAGAGTAGTAGTAATCTATCAATGCTATCAATAAGTAATAATTCTTTTGCTGGACTTTAGGTTTTTGTGTATTATAGATATTAAAAGGATATGAGTCAAACTAAGAGTGGCCAGGGATGTTTTTACATATGTAACTTGAGATAATTCTGTTAGGTAATGACAGGAGAGAGATTTGTGCATGGCAATGATTTGTTATTTATCCTTTGTTTGTATTTTTTTTCTAACAAATAAATGGCCATGGGGTGGCGTCTGACAAGCCCACTGCTTTTTGGTTCAGTATGTCTTTGAAACGAATCAAAGTAGTCATGTATGATTTATACTTGCTTCTAAGGTATCCTAGTCACTATCTATGAATGCATAACTTGCATAAGTGATATATTTAACAAATTCAATTGATGGTCTCAAGATAGTCTGGAAGGGCACTTTACACCACTTTGTACTCAAATTGTTTGATTTTGATTGTTACTATTAGATAATTTTATAATAGATCTAATGAGTTTATATAAATGTAATATAATTATATAATAAATATACTCCAATAAAAAGGAAAGTCTCATAGCTTGTCTTTTTGATTCGGAAACAAAAAAATTTATGTACAAAATTTCGAAGTAGCATGAAGTATCTTTTCCTGGCCAGACCACCCCAAGACCACCACTAATCAATTTATCTCAAATTATATAATATTATGTAAAAATTTCCCTAGTTACTAGGGATTGTAAATTTACCGACTTTTTCATTTACTGGTAACTCGGTAAATGAAAATTAAAATACCAGTTTACCAGTAAATTACTGGTAAATTTTTTCTTGAAAAATAAAATTAAGGTGATAAAAAATAAGTCATTATGATTTCCATTTCGCACTTTTTATTTCAAAGATATCAGATATAAAAATTAGTGTTATTCTAAACAAACTCTAATCTAAATATATAAAATTGCTTGTCCTGACTGACTGACTGACTGAATGACTCACTCACTCACTGATTCATCATTGCC